TGGGAGACCCTTATTCTGCCCACCAAAGATTTGAATGGACAAACCAGGCAAGTAATAGTGCAACTGGGCTTCTGAAAAAGCTAATGTGATTTCAGGCCACATTATTAGAGGTCTAGTGCTGAGCTCAGGGGAGGTGGTGGTTTTACCAAACCATTCTAGGAATAATACCAGGATGGTGAAGGGAGACAGGGAGCCATGCCCCACAGGGAAAGACAGACAGATTGCTAGCCAGGATCAGCTCACAGTAGTCCTCTGTATGGCTGACATGTGGAAGACGGGATTTATTCTGGGGGGTTCCCAAGTGAGGGATGTCAGACCGGGTCTTAGTCTTACCTGAGTCTCCACCCACTGCCTGGCATTCTGCACCAGGTTCAGTCAACATGTGGTGTGCTCTACTCCCAGGGGGGCGGACCAGCACATCAGCAGAACCTTCTGGAAGCTTGTGGGGCACTCTTCCACCAGACTCATTCAGTGTAGCTCTAGAGTGCCAACAGGGCTGCTGAGGCCTAAGTCATAGAATCCAGAGCAGTTCCTAAAACTATATTAGTGTTGGCACACCCATGTTCACAGCAGCATTATTGATAGTAGTCCAAAGGTGGAAGGAGCCCTGGGTGAATGGATACACAGTGTGGTCCAGCCATATGGTGGAATATTACTCAGCCTTGAAAAGAAAGGGCATCCGGACACCCGCTACAATGTGGATGGACCCTGACACTGAGCTCAGTGAAATAAGCTATACACAAAAGGACAAATCCTGTCTGATCCCACTCCAAGGAGGTCCCTAGAGGAGCCCCATCTACAGACACAGAAAGTGGGTGGTGGGCCCGGGGGCTGGGGGAGGGGCTGGGGAGTGAGTGTTTCGTGGGACGGAGCTTCAGTTTGGGAAGACGGAAAGTTCTGGAGATGGAGGGTCGGGACATTTGTATGACATTGTGAATGTGCTTCATGCCGCTGAGCTGTATGCTAAAAATAGTAAGATGGTGATTTGTATGTACATTTAACTACACTAAAAAAAAAAAATCAGGGTTCTGATTGTTTAAAAAAAAATCTATATTGGGGTCCAACTTCGCAGAGGCCAGCCTTGCTTATTTGGCAAGAGAAGATGCTGGAAAGAAAAGAACGTGCTAACTCCCACCCACAGCTACAGGGAAGAGTTACTCCCAGCTCAGCTTCTGGTGACAGACTCTTTAAATTCAGCTGTGGCCACTTCCAGGCACATGGCTGACTTTGAGGGCAGGGACCTGGCGGGCCGTGGGTGCCTGGGAAACCCAGAATTCGTGCACAATGATGAGGAAAGCCAGGTGGGCCTCCAGGAGCCCCTATAGCTCCCCTGATGATGGAAGCCTCCTCCCGTTCAGGCTCCTCCCAGGTCCCAGGGCCCCTCCCAAAACCTGCTCTCAGGCAGAGCTAACATTTAACCAGCACACCCTGGGCTGGCCAAACCAGGTGTGCAAGTATTGAAATGCCTCAGTACTCGTTGGCAAATCGCTGCTGCACGGAGCATCCGAATGTCCCCTACTCCCCAAGGCCTCTCCTGGGACCCTCCACTGAGCAGAGTAGGAGAAATATCTTGTCAGCAGCAGACACTTCTGCAGCCTCTGAAATCACAGCCTGGTCTGTTTGTATCTGGGGGCGCTGGTGCACTGCTCTTAAGAGGCCACCTGGGCTTGGTCCACAAGGTCAAAAAGCAGAACAATTCTGGGGTAGCTGCCATCCCACTCGACCCGCATAGCTCGGTATTCCCATCTGTGCAATGGGCGCTTCCAGCCTGAAGCTCTCACTTCCCACCAAACTCTGGCTCCTTGTGCCACCAGCGTGCTGGTCTCCTGCATGCCCTCTCACTTCCAGGCTGGACAAAGGCTCCCACGGGCCTCTCTAAACCTCGGCACAGGGCTTCAAAGCAGGGGGACAGTCTGCCTGTCTCTGGGGCCTGGCTTGGAGCTCCGTCTCTGCCATTTTCTCCATGGTCTGGCCCCACACAATAGGGATTTGCCTAGGGCACAGGGGTTCTGGGGGTGCACCTGGCATCAAGGGGCTCAGGGAGGCTGCTCAATCCCCCAACAGTGCCCAAGACTGCACCCCCCCAACCAAGAATGACCCATGCCAGCAGCGCTGAGGTGGGGAGAGGCTCTGGCTAGGGTCTGACTTCAGTCCTGCTGGAAAATGCGCCTGGCTTGGTCCTCCCGCGCTGTGCTCTGAAGAGGAGGAAAATCATCCTGCTGCCCTCCACACCCCTGGCAGACCCTCCAACCCCCCACCTCTGCCCAGTCTGGCAGGGGTGGGGTTGGCGGGGCTTGGCTTTCCGTCTGTGCAATGGGCCTGAAGCTGGATAATCAGGGGAGTCCATGGGCCAGCTTCACCCTGAGGGAACCCGAAAGAACGAGGCCCCATCTGTCCTTGCACCCTCCCCCCACCCTGCCCCCAGTAGCCATCCACAAGATGGCCATCCCCCAGGGAGAGTGCGGAGCCCAGGAGCCCCGCAGCCTGGAAGGCAGTGCGGGAGTGGAAGCAGAGAACGTGGCAGCGATTCTCGCGGGCCAGGCCTCCCCCGGGTTTCTTTCCTTTTTTAAAATCACCGCAATTTAAAAAGCGACTCCTCCCTCCGTCCTGCCGCCTGCCACGTGGGCTGGCCCAAGGAGGGCCCCCTGGCCTCTCCCTCGCCGGGCTGGGCTGCGCCGCACTGGCTTCAGTTTCACTTCAGTGTCACCGGTTTCACTTTCGGGCAGGAGAGAAAGAAGAGAGAGACAGAGCTACAGAGGGAAAGAGGGAGGGTGGCTCTGTCAGGCACTGGGGCAGCCTCTGTCCCCATCTGGCAGGGCCACCACCTGCTGCTCCATCGCCTGACCCTCCCCTGGTCTGGGGATTCTCAGAGTCAAGGTCAAGGGGTCAAAGTCAAGTTCTCTCTGCTTGACCTTAGGCAGGGCAAGCAACTCCTGGATCGGGGCTCCTTCCCCCACATCCCCTGTAAAAGTGGGGCTGAGAATCCACCCCATGGGGTGCTGGGACCTGGGACAGGGATTGTCAAGGAGAGCCCAGAAGGTCCCCAGTGGGAGGGGGAGGGCAAGGTCCAAAGCAGAACAGGATGTCACGTTGGCTGGCTTTACTCAGCGAGGGACCCTTGGCCCACAAATTACCAGGAAGGAGGCTCCATGTGGTCTGAGTCCAGGCTCCAGACAGGGGTGGGTGGGGACAGTGTCCCCTGAGGCCACCTGCTGTGGCTTGGGGCTGTTCATCTGTCTGGCAGACCCAGGCTGGAAGCCCAGCTGCTGTGCTTGCTTTGTGGTGGGCCTGCTGGCCTCCGGGTCTGGCGTTTCATCTGTGAAATGGGTGGTGGCCTTGCTCCCCGGCCCCGTATCCCCACCCAGGGCCCTAGGGTGGAAGTCCAAAGCCTGGCGGACAGAGCCGCTGTCCTCTAAGCCTGGCTGAGAACTGCTGAAAGGTAGGAATCTGGGCCCATCGGGCTCTCTGTCCAGCTCAGGACCTGGGAACAGACTCACTGGACAGGACAGGGGAGCTGCCCTAGGGACATCAGTAACATAGCTCAGGTGAGATAGTGTGTGTACCAATGACAGAGGGCAGCCTGCTTCTTTATAACAGCTTTACTGAGATGTAATTCGCTTACTCCACAGTTCACCCACATAAAGTGGACATTCATTGGTTGTTAGCACATTCGCAGAACTGTGCAACCACTATCTAACCTTAGAACATATCTCTCTCCCCAGAAAGCAACCTTATCCCCATTAGTTGTCACTCCCTGCCCCCTCCCCCAGCCCCTGACACCTGCAAACCCACATTCTGCCTGCGGATTTGCCTGTCGTGGACATGCCACAGGAATGGGGCCACATACTGCATGGCCTTGTGGGTCTGGCATCTCTCACTGAGCACCGTGTGGTCAGGGCCTGTTCACGCTGCAGCGCGTGGCAGGGCTTCACTCTTCTTTGTGGCTGAGTGACATTCCAGTCCATGGATGGACGGCGCTGTGTGTATCCAGCCACCAGCAGATGGGCTCTGGGACTGTTTCCAGTTTGGACGACTGTGAACCATGCTGCTGTGAGTGGGGCAGGTGTGAAGGTAACAAAAGCAGGTATTGCTGAATGCACGTCCACCCACAGCCAGTGATGTGTAGAGACCCTGCATTTTTCTGGGATGAGAAGCACACTCTTAGGGCCACGGAGAAGAAGCACCCAGTAGAGGCGGCCCTGGTACCCACCTGGGGAGGGGCGCCCTCCTGTCCCAGGTTCCCCGTGGGCCCGGTGCCTTTCATTCTGCATCCCCTGGGGGTGCAGGGAGCCCCCAGGCAGGAGAGGTGAAGGAGTCGTCACCCAGGATCCACTCCTGTCACCCCAGAGCCACTTCCTGCTCTCTAATGTGGGGCAAAGAGAAGAGACGGTGCACCTCAGGGCTTCACGCATCCCCGCCCCCTCCAGCTCCCAGGGTTCCTTCCGCCCCAGACCCCAGATCTCTGGTGTCATCTTTGCTAACTCACCTCCCTGCAGTTGGGGCCCCGAGCACCCCGCCAGACCCCTGGAGCTCCTGCCCCTCCAGCCCAGCCCCAGGGGTGGGTCCATGGGGAGACTCGGTCCAGTGTCCACCTGTTCTCACTGGCCACCTGCACAGAGTCTCTGGGGAGGCATCCAGTCAAATCCTCTGCCGGCCTTTTCACTGCAGCCATTGTCTCGGTGGCTGAGTTGTTAGGGCTCTTTATGCATTCTGGGTGCTAGACCGCCTCTCCGGGATTTGCAAGTATTTTCTCCTGCCCTGTGGGCCATCTTTTCACACTCTTGAGGGTGTCCTTTGATGCATCCACATTTTTTATTTTGATCAAGTCCACAGTCATCTGTTTTTTTATTTTGCTGTGCGTGTTCCCGTTGACGAAGCCGCTGCCAAGTCCAGGACCGCAAAGATGAGGAAGGTCACGCGAGCAATTCTGCAGAGGGTTTGCATGGGGGGCCTGGCAGCCCCCAGCAGGGGGATGGCTGCCCTGAGGGGCAACGTTGTCCTGAGCTCGAAGAAGTCTGAGCAGGAATTGGGGGTGGGGAGGGGGCATAGAACAGAACACCTTTCAGAACAAGGAACAGCAGGTGCGAAGAGAGGGAGGCAAGAGTAAATGGAAGACTTGTACTTGTCTCCTCCCTGAGACCCCTGGGCAGCCCCTACCCTATGCCCTGGGTTCCTGGGTCCCAAGGGGCATCAGGAGTTGGGGGTGATGTGGCTGTGTTTTAAAAACTTCCAGGTCCTCACTGTGAAATCCAAGGGTGTAACAGGAAGAAGAGAGATGAGTATCAGGCAGGGGGGACACAGCTGAGCCCCATGTGTGAGCTCGCAGGTGAGTGGGGGATCGTAGCAACACGGGTCAGAGGAGGCCAGGGCCTCCCCAAGAGAGAAGGTGACGCCCACGAAGGAGTAACAGGGACAGGTGGGCTTGGTCTTCTGGGCTGTGGCGACAGGGCCAGCCTTTTGCCTTCACAGGAGGCAGGCCACCTGGACAAGGGTATTTGCCAGGGACAGATCTAAGGACGGGATGGATCCCTGGGGGAGAGACAGGGCTTCTCCAGTCCAGGGCTGGCCCTGCCCTGGGGGCCCAGCTCTCTCTGTGCCTTTCTGCCGGACGGCCTGCACTCCCAGGCCAACTTCCCTGTGGCACCCATTCCTCCCTGGGCGTCCCCGTCCTCATGGCTGGTGTGGCCCCCAGGGTACCGCACTCGGGACTGGTCCGGGCCCCCTCCTCCAGGCCTGGACTCCTGGAGCAGGCTTTCCCTGTGTCCCGCTCTTTACGACCTCATCTTCCCAAACCTACTTGCCCAAGGTCACTCTCGGCCTGCAGCTGGCTCTGTCCCTGGCATAAATTCCAGATTCTTAACCAGACATCCCACTGACCAGGCTTCCGCCAGGCTCCCCAGTGCTGCGCCCAAGGCCAGCGGTGATGATGGCAGGCTTCTGTTTAGCTGGTATGCAGCCAGTGCCCCTGCCGCTTTGTTCCCCGTGCCACCCCCGGAAGTTAGAGGGTCGACACCAGGCCCAGTGGGGGCCTCCCTGACCCCTTGTGAGCCTCTTCCTCACACCCATTTGGAGTGGTTGCTGCTTGGATGGATGGTTCGAGTGTTTTGAACCCTGTGCCCCTGCCCAGCCGGTCTTCTCCAGGGGCCCATGTTATCTGGTCGCACCACCAAGCCTTTGCTTACTTGGCTCCCTGCCTGGGATGCCTGCCCTCCCTGTCCCCCAAGGTGGTTCTTGGAGTAAACACCCAGTCCACGGGGTCTGCCTCTTTGAGCCTTTGGTTTTTAGGGCACCATAAGGTCTCTCCAGCACGGTGCCCAGGCTGTGGGCCTCCACAGGGCTCTGTGGAACAGCCTCAACTAACTGTGTGCCCCGAAGACAGTGACCAAGTTGGGAGATCTTTAGAGATGGCACAATGGCCAGTGTCTGTCTCCCGGGAGGCTGGAGAAGGGTCCCATGTCACTGTGGGCGAGCCGCCTAACCTCTCCAGGGCCCAGGGAAGTCAGGTGGGCATAGGAGACGAGTCCTGCCCGCCTCATGGGGCGTGGCCAGCGTGAGGGGAAAGGGGGTCGGGGCCTGCTCAGGGGCGGGCAGGCACCTTCCTCAGGGAGGGGTAGGCGCCTCTCATTTAGGGTGTGAAGCCCCCTCTACTGTGGATGGCGGTCCCCCGGGGCGTGACCTTCCGCAAGGTCACAGTTATTTGCACGGGGAGGTCCTAATGCAGTGGGGTGGGGGATGGGGGGCGGAGCCACAGCTGTGGGCCACAGTCCCGCCCTTATCGGGGCCTCTGATTCTCCAGGTGCTTCCCTGACGGCCTCCCTCTGTCCCCTGGGAGGCCTGGGCAGAAACCCGAGCCTCTGCCTCCGTTCAGGCTGCCATGGGGCCCGGTCTCTCCCTCCCACCCCCGTTCCTCCTCCAGAGCCACCCTGTGGTTGCCACAGGGATTGTGGAACAGGCCCTCCACCCACCTGGCCTGCAGCTCGGGGTGGGACCTCCAGGCCCCAGCTGGCCGGGGCTCGCGCACCTGGTCGGCTCAGAGCCTGGCCAGCGCTGAGGCCTGACGGCCCAGCTGGTTTCATTTTGAGCGCGTCTCTTCCCCTTCCTCACCCCCTTCCCACCCTGGACCCCCGCTTTCTGGGAAACCCTGCTGCAGCTTCCTCTGAACTGTGTTAACCCCGAGAGGCACGCCGGGTTCCGCCTCCCGGACCTGAGGCTTCCTGCCCTGCACACACCTCCGCCCACACCAGCCGGCTGCGTGCACTCCTCCCGGCTCCGCACCTTCCAGAAGGTTCTGTGAGCCCTTACCGTTCCCTTGCCTAGCCCCCTGCCACACCGTGTCCCAGTCTCCGGACACAAGAAACCCCATGGTTTCGGGCAGGGCTGTCCCCCCGGCCACAGGCAAGCCAGGGTCTGGCCTCTGCTGGCTGGGTGACTCCTCGACCAACAAATTCCAGGAGAGTTATGGGCTAAAGCAGGGTTTCCTCGTCGGCACTGTGGGCATCAGGCTGCCCTCTGTGGGGGGCTGTCCTGGGCACCACTGGAGGCTGAGAAGCCTCCCTGGGCCCCACCCACTCGATGCCAGGAGCACTCCAGTGTGACAACCACAGATGTCTCCTGGGTTGAGGGGGCAGGACAGTCCCCACTGAGACCTGACGGGCTAACTGACAGCAGGGTGTGGGGGTGAGGCGGGCGGACACAGAGGGCACAAAGGACTGAAACCTGCATGCAGACCACGCTCCCACGCTCCCTTACTGGTTACCGAAGAAATGGTCGCAGTTTGCCTATATTGGGGTAAATAAACAGTATCATCGGCTTCACCTGCTTCTCTTCCCTCATTAACTGAGGCTGCCGTACTGGTTCCTGGTTTTCACCACAGATATTTAAGCTGTGCAGTTGAATGACACTGGTGACTGCATCTGGGGACTCGGGGGCAGGGACCTACTTGGGACCTGCCCACCGGTTCTGCAGACCATTTTTCTTTCCATTTGCTCCCCAGCTCCACCGGGAGCATTTCCCTTACAAGCAGGGGAGAGCAGCCCTTCCCAGGACCGGTGCGACGGGGTGTGAGAACCCCATGGGATGAGGGGCAGGCGGTGGCCCGGAGCCCAATGAATAGCATATGCAGATGAATCCTGCCCCATCCTTCACACACCCTGCCTGGCTGGGGGCAGGGGGCTGTGCTGCTCATGGAGGGGGGGCATCTTTTGCACTGGGTGGTCTCAAAGGGCTGTCGGCCGAGCTGCTCAGGACTGAGGCACAAGCACACGGTAAGGACCCCGGGGACATGGAGGGATGGAGTTCTGGGTGAAGTGCTCTTTATAATATGATGAAAATACTTTCTTCTTTCAAACCAAGTGCCCCACAAAAAACAAAAGAAAAACCCACAAACCAAAGAACACCCAACACAGGATTCTCAGGGGCACCAGGTCCTTCCCCTACCTTTGCTGAGGTCGGACTGAAGGGCATTGTGGGTCCCGGGAGCTGCGTGTCCACAGAGCCCCCGAACACAGTTGTGCACAGGCCGCCTGGGTTTTTTTTCCAGAGCCATGTCAGGAGACCCCCCCAAAGCGACAACCATCATGCGTTTCACTGAGAGCCTGCCCTCTATGACGAGGAGCTACACCCAGGTTGCTGGGATGCAAGGTGGTGTCCCAGGTCTGCGTGTGGCTGCCCCTGGCTGGATGGGAGGGAGCCGCCAGGCCTGGACAGGGGCTGACCCTGCGGTGCCTAGGGCGCCGGGTTAGTGGGGCCAAGTCTGGGGGTGTTTGCGGGGGATGGGGTTTGAGGGGGACACCTGGGGACGTGAGGGGTCAGTGCAGACACACTTGCGCCAGGCCTCAAAGGCTCTGGCATGCTCCCTGCTTTCCTGGAGCCTGGTTCTGGCTCAAGAGTGGGAGGCCAAGGGCCCAGCTTCATTCCAGTCCTTTCCTGAGGTGCCAAGGAATCTGGTGAGAGCCACAGACCAGCACACAAGGCAGCCAGTGGGCAGCCAGCCTCGACTGATGGCCCTGCGGGGGCACCTACACCTCTCCCCACCCTCCTGCTTGTGGGCCCGCCCGCCTCCCCTACTGATTCCCAGTTCTCCCTGCTTAGCCTGCTGCCAGCAGGGGTGCACGGGAGGTGCCACCAGCGCCAGGCTCCCTCAGACCCATATGCTGGGTCCTGGTTCACCTGGGCTGGCCATCCCTGAGGAAGCTCAGGCACCCACGGAGCGACACCTTCCTCTCAGTTGCCTTTTTACTGTTTTCTAAATCAGGTGAGAATGTGGGGACCCTCGGAACTGGTAGGAACCTGAAGCTGGCTGAAGGAGCTGCCACGTTGTCTCCTTTGCTGTCCACAGAAAAAAACTACAGGAGACTAGAAGGGCCTCCCTAAAAGGAAAAGGATCCAGCAGTTCCCAGAGGGCCACAAGCCCCTGCTTTCAGCTGTGCCTTCTCCAGAAGCTTGCACCAGGCCCCAGCCCTGCCTTCCCCTGCAATTTGCCATAGATAAATATCAGCTTGCTTCAGGCCTCCAGGAAGTACCGAGGGGTTTGCTCAGAGCTTCACATCTTCAGGGAGCTCAGAGAGGGAGCCTTACGAGCAGCCTGCCCTCCACCACTTCCTACTGCCTGGCGGCCCAGAGGCGGCCTCCTCTGGCCGAGGCGGCTCAGCCCGGAAAGCAGCAAGGCTGGTTTCTGGGCCTTGGGCCACATATAGACCCCAGCAGAAGGCCTGGCTGGACATCCCAACAGATATGGCCTCAGCCCCATCGTCTCATTTCCAACCAGCTGCGGAGGACGGGTTAGAGGGCCTGAAAGGGGGACGGGCCTTGGGCAGTCACTTGTGATTCGCTGGGTGAGCAGAGCTGACACAGAGAGCCACCCGCCCACATCTGTCGGCTGGGAGGCGTGGGGGCGCCCGGGGCCTTATCTGCTGGATCTGCTGGGGTTTTCAACCACATCGACAGCTTGGAAACCCAACATTTCCTTTCTGTCGAGCCGAGTGTCGTCAGCTCGGCTGCCTCGGGGAACCATGAAGCACAGGAGGAGAGGAAGATCCCTCCCGGGGGGCAGCTCACGCTGTCCCGGGCACAGGCAGGGGCGCTGTCCCAGGCTGCAGGACAAGAGGCAGAAGTGGCTGGGGGATGGGCGCCAGGGTACCCAATGCGTGACTGCTCCTCGCCACTGGACCACCCCAAAGGGGGCAGCGCGACACGAAGAAGTGCAAGGAGGGGGACTTGTCTGCCTACCCGTCAAAGCGGAGCCCACGCCTGATGCCACCCCACTTCTCGGTGGCCTGGTCAGCTCGGGGCTCAGCTGCCCCGCGGGAAGCATTCCCACCCAAAGAACAAATGGACCAGAAGTATGACGGACATGTTTGCTTCTCTTTCGCGGTTTTGTTTGGGTTTTTTAAACCTAAGTAAGCAGGTTCTGAGAACACAATACTGCCACGTCACCCTTTCTGAGACCAGAGGGCCACATGGCTGTGACAGGCGTGAGGACGTTCAATGTTCAGACGAGTGCGCGCCGCTCCGTGGAGGACGGGGGGCGGCGAGGGGTGGGGGGGAGCTGGTCTCTCCTGGCAGGAGGGGCACGGCATGGGCAGGCCACCTGCCGGACCCTGCCACCCGGCGTCACACGGCAGCGCGTGTGGGCGTGCTGGGCTGGTTCAGCCGCAGCGTTTTACACAACCAGCCGGCAAAATCGACTTCTTCCGCCTCGGACCGTTTGATGAAGGTGTGGTTCTGAAAGGGGAAGAGGGGCCCTGTGAGCAGGCTGGCCCTGGGATCTGCAAGCAGGAGGGGGGGGCCAGCCTTCTGCTCAGCCTTGCCAGGCCCTCTGGGATGAAAAGCCAAAAACCGGGAGTGTAAAGCGCCCGTCCTGCTTCACCGAGGACGTGCTCAGGACAGGGGGGCACTGCGCCTTGCTCACGTGAGCCCAGGTGTCCCCTGCGGCTCTGTGGGGAGTGAGCACCCCCAGCGTGACAAGCACAGGTATCTTCAGCATGGCCCAGTGTCCCCTGGGGGCACGACTTCCCCACCCCCAGTAACATCCTCTGCTCTGAACAGCAGACTCTGTGATGACAGTAAGGTCCCTACACGTCCTGTCCAGTATGGCAGCCCCAGTGCATGAGGCCCTGAAGCCCTCAAGATATGGCTGGGGTGGCTGAAGGGCAGAACTGTGTATTCTACTCCGTTTCAAGTGATGTCGACTGCCACCCCAGGGAGCACCCACACCATCCCACGTGGGTCAGCAGAGCACCAGAGGTCCCTCGTCTGGGGGAGCTGGGGGGGTGAGCAGATGCAGGGGTGTGCAGGGGAGGGCATCTCTCCAAGGGACAGCAAGGCCCACCAAGGCCCAGAGGCTCCACTGTCACCTCTGCAGCAGGCTGGGGGAGGTGAGGCCATCCTCCTCTTCCTAGAGGTCTGTGCAGGCTGAGGGGGCAAAGCACCCAAGGTGAAAGGACGCCTGTGGTTTGGGGCACCAGGGGGCAGTTACGGTGTCAGCTCCCAGCCTCAGACAACCTGACTTGGGCAGAGAGATCTGGCAGGTTTCCCCTAACAGCGTGGACCTGGAGAGCTGGGGGGTGCGGCGCGTGGGGGGATTCAACGTGAACGCGGCTCTCTATTCCACGTGCCTGTGTATTTTATAATGAGCACCAATTTGTGTCTGCGCCTACACCACAAATTTCTCTAACACAGGTTACTGGAAAACCTATGTCAGACACAATAAGGAGTTTCCAGAAAGAACCAAGCACATGCAACCCCTTCCAACATGGCACTCCAGGCCCGGCTTTCTACCCTGACCACAGCAAGTGTAACTGCCACCAGGACACATGGGGTTGCACAAGGTGCACAGGGCCTTCAGGGAGCAGGCAGCACAAGAAGAGGTGGCGATCCCCAGGGAGGACCGTCCTGTGCAAAGGCCCTGAGGTGGACAGCAGAGGCTGGTCCTCAGGCAGGGGCACAGGGACTCTCTGCCTGGCATGGCCCAATTACTTAGATTTAAAGAAGGGGTAACAAGCCCATGGCCTCCCTGACCTGTGGAGATGCTGACGAGCCCCAGAAGGCTTAAAGCCCATTGTCCAGAAACACACCAAACCCAGGCACAGCTGGGCCCTGGTGGCCCCTGGCAGGGGCCGTATGGCCTACACTAATGGATAAGGCAGGCACACTGGGGTCTCCAGCTGAACCCACTCCAGGGGCTGGCAAGGGGTGAGGAGGAGGAAGAGGCCCTGGGTGGCAGGCTGGCATCTCTTACCATGAGCATCTTCAGATCGGCTCGCTCTGCTGGGTTCTTAATACAGGCAGGGGCGCTGTCCCAGGCTGCAGGACAAGAGGCAGAAGTGGCTGGGGGATGGGCGCCAGGGTACCCAATGCGTGACTGCTCCTCGCCACTGGACCACCCCAAAGGGGGCAGCGCGACACGAAGAAGTGCAAGGAGGGGGACTTGTCTGCCTACCCATCAAAGCGGAGCCCACGCCTGATGCCACCCCACTTCTCGGTGGCCTGGTCAGCTCGGGGCTCAGCTGCCCCGCGGGAAGCATTCCCACCCAAAGAACAAATGGACCAGAAGTATGACGGACATGTTTGCTTCTCTTTCGCGGTTTTGTTTGGGTTTTTTAAACCTAAGTAAGCAGGTTCTGAGAACACAATACTGCCACGTCACCCTTTCTGAGACCAGAGGGCCACATGGCTGTGACAGGCGTGAGGACGTTCAATGTTCAGACGAGTGCGCGCCGCTCCGTGGAGGACGGGGGGCGGCGAGGGGTGGGGGGGAGCTGGTCTCTCCTGGCAGGAGGGGCACGGCATGGGCAGGCCACCTGCCGGACCCTGCCACCCGGCGTCACACGGCAGCGCGTGTGGGCGTGCTGGGCTGGTTCAGCCGCAGCGTTTTACACAACCAGCCGGCAAAATCGACTTCTTCCGCCTCGGACCGTTTGATGAAGGTGTGGTTCTGAAAGGGAAAGAGGGGCCCTGTGAGCAGGCTGGCCCTGGGATCTGCAAGCAGGAGGGGGGGGCCAGCCTTCTGCTCAGCCTTGCCAGGCCCTCTGGGATGAAAAGCCAAAAACCGGGAGTGTAAAGCGCCCGTCCCGCTTCACCGAGGACGTGCTCAGGACAGGGGGGCACTGCGCCTTGCTCACGTGAGCCCAGGTGTCCCCTGCGGCTCTGTGGGGAGTGAGCACCCCCAGCGTGACAAGCACAGGTATCTTCAGCATGGCCCAGTGTCCCCTGGGGGCACGACTTCCCCACCCCCAGTAACATCCTCTGCTCTGAACAGCAGACTCTGTGATGACAGTAAGGTCCCTACACGTCCTGTCCAGTATGGCAGCCCCAGTGCATGAGGCCCTGAAGCCCTCAAGATACGGCTGGGGTGGCTGAAGGGCAGAACTGTGTATTCTACTCCGTTTCAAGTGATGTCGACTGCCACCCCAGGGAGCACCCACACCATCCCACGTGGGTCAGCAGAGCACCAGAGGTCCCTCGTCTGGGGGAGCTGGGGGGGGTGAGCAGATGCAGGGGTGTGCAGGGGAGGGCATCTCTCCAAGGGACAGCAAGGCCCACCAAGGCCCAGAGGCTCCACTGTCACCTCTGCAGCAGGCTGGGGGAGGTGAGGCCATCCTCCTCTTCCTAGAGGTCTGTGCAGGCTGAGGGGGCAAAGCACCCAAGGTGAAAGGACGCCTGTGGTTTGGGGCACCAGGGGGCAGTTACGGTGTCAGCTCCCAGCCTCAGACAACCTGACTTGGGCAGAGAGATCTGGCAGGTTTCCCCTAACAGCGTGGACCTGGAGAGCTGGGGGGTGCGGCGCGTGGGGGGATTCAACGTGAACGCGGCTCTCTATTCCACGTGCCTGTGTATTTTATAATGAGCACCAATTTGTGTCTGCGCCTACACCACAAATTTCTCTAACACAGGTTACTGGAAAACCTATGTCAGACACAATAAGGAGTTTCCAGAAAGAACCAAGCACATGCAACCCCTTCCAACATGGCACTCCAGGCCCGGCTTTCTACCCTGACCACAGCAAGTGTAACTGCCACCAGGACACATGGGGTTGCACAAGGTGCACAGGGCCTTCAGGGAGCAGGCAGCACAAGAAGAGGTGGCGATCCCCAGGGAGGACCGTCCTGTGCAAAGGCCCTGAGGTGGACAGCAGAGGCTGGTCCTCAGGCAGGGGCACAGGGACTCTCTGCCTGGCATGGCCCAATTACTTAGATTTAAAGAAGGGGTAACAAGCCCATGGCCTCCCTGACCTGTGGAGATGCTGACGAGCCCCAGAAGGCTTAAAGCCCATTGTCCAGAAACACACCAAACCCAGGCACAGCTGGGCCCTGGTGGCCCCTGGCAGGGGCCGTATGGCCTACACTAATGGATAAGGCAGGCACACTGGGGTCTCCAGCTGAACCCACTCCAGGGGCTGGCAAGGGGTGAGGAGGAGGAAGAGGCCCTGGGTGGCAGGCTGGCATCTCTTACCATGAGCATCTTCAGATCGGCTCGCTCTGCTGGGTTCTTAATCAGGCTGCAGAGGACGAAAGGATGGCAGACAAGATGGGACAGTCAGTTGGTGGCCATGCGGACCTGTGTTTTGAGCTGTGACCGGGCAGCCCGTCCCTGGGCCCTGCCCATCAGAGCCTGGGCAGGGCGAGGGCAGGAGAGTGCATTCTGCTGTCCCTTTGCTGTCTGGTCCCCAGGGGTGAGAGGCCCCACCGCTGCCCTTTGGTGCGGGCAGGACGCATGGGGAGGGAGAGAGGGGTGCAGGTCTGAGGCCAGGACAACAGGGAAAGGGACAGACGCTGGGAAACCCCTGCCCCTGCCATCAAGGGCTCAGCGACAACAGCTACACTGCTAATGAAAACCCCAAATTTGGGAGTTTAGATGTAAAAATGGAGCTTTTTCCTTTGAAAAAGCAGAACTGCCTAAAAGCAGCTGCTTACAGCAGCCTAGGTTGAGTGCTAGCTGTTCACACACAAAGGAAACCTCTTGCGTGGGTATGAAAACATTTACACGGATCACTGGGTTTACGCTGCACCATGAGGCCAGAAGTCGTGTAAAGGGCCAGCAGCGCCTTCACCACCACGGGCGTTCGCGGCGGTGAGCTAGGCAGTCCCCAGGCAGTGGCTGGGGTGGCAGCACCCACTTGTCCCGACACGCAGGACGGCCTAAAGCTAAGTGGGCAGCCCCAGCCCCTCCCTCCTGCTCAAGACCAGTTGGCCCCTCCCAGAAACCAGCTCAGGTGGCTTGTTGGGAAGCTGGTGGGTTACAGAGCTTGAGGGATTAGGAAACTGAGGTGCCTGCTGGCAGAAGGCAAGGTGGGAATAGCATTAGTTCCAGAGAGCCTGAAATCCTGGTTCACTCTGGGCTCTGGGGACAAGCTGGGGACAGCAGCTGGACACTGACTCAGCAGTCTCGGCAAGGGGATCTGGCTTCTCAGGTGAGCTCCAGGTGTCCCGCCAGGTGCTGCCATCCACCTGGCATTCCTGACCGCAGGCCTAGCAGAGTGGCCCGGCCCAGGCCAGGAAGGAACAGCACATCTAGGGCGAGGGCGAGGGAGTGGGCGGCCCATCCCCCGAGGCAGGTGGGGCTTCTGACGGCCTGGCACCTGGCCCGGCCACACTGAGACCTGCTGGAGGCCATGGCACCTTACCATTTATTTACAAACTCCTGGAAGTCCTGGGTGAAAATGCCGCTGGGCAGCTTGGGAGGTGGCTGTGGGAGAGAACAGACGGGTGGGGGGTCAGCTGCTCAAGGAGGGTTTTGGAATCAGAGAAGCTGCCTCCCGGCCCTGCACACGTTTGAGGCCAGCATGGTGCTTTTCGGGGACCCGTGAATGCACCTCTCCTGGCCCCAGGCCCTTCGCCTTGATGGAGGTGGGCAGCACCCACCCTTCCTTCCAGCAGCTTCTCCAACAGGCCCTGCTGCCCATCCTACCAACCGGGTCTGGCTTCCAGGGGGTTCTCTGGCAGCTCTATAGAGGGGAGCAGAGCAGGGCTCACCCTCTTATGGACAAGGGTGGGCATTCCTGACCACGTGTCACGCCACCCAGGCCACTTCCCTTTGGGGGCCGGATGGGCTAAGGGTCTGGACCATTGCAGGGCAGCTACTTCCAGAGGTTTGGGTCTGAACGTGGGGCAGGCTGAGGAGCATGAATGGGTGGGTATGAGCGTGTGCACTGGCAGGCGAGGCAGCAGGCGGACTGTCCTGGCGAAGCCCACAGGGCCTTCTTCTCTTCAGGGGTGGGAGGTGCTGGCAGCCTCCCTGGGAGGACGTGTGTGATGGGCCAGGGCGTCGCTGCCAGGGGAAGGGAGAGCTGTGTCACCAGAGCCACCTGCCCTGTTTGGAGCCACAGATCCTGTTCACCTCGACACCCAACCCTGGGGCCGCAAACTGCTCAGCTGCCACATTTCTCTGCCCTGACTCCAGCCAGGGAGGCTGCCTAGGCCCTGCTGAGGGCGGGCTTGGGGGTTGGGGCCTGCCCTGCCCCATCCCAGCTGCAGGCCTCTATGGAGGCTGCTCATCCTGCTGCCTCCACCTACTCATCAGTACAGTGGAAATATTCAGGATACCGGCTCCCTGGCTGGGCCCTTCCAGGCGTTCTGTGCCTCCATCCCAGAGCAGTGGGTTGCCCAAACTTTCCCCAAGGAAGTGGGGTTATTCATGACTTCATGCACAGTGACTCCATGGTGCTCAGAGAAAGACACTGGGGCACAGAGCTCAAGGAGGCCCCTGGCTCCCTGGCCCTGGGGCAGGCGGGGGAAGGAGGGTGGCGGCGGGCTACAGGGGAACTGTGGTCGACTTCATACCTGTACAAACATCAATTCCCCTTGGGGAGGGGTAGACTTGTGCAGAATCCAGGAAGTAAGGCCACGTATGTTTACACCTGACAGCCGACCACTGAGAACATTCCCAATGCCCCACCCGCTGGCAGTGAAACCCAGTGTGCGCATTAATTTGCTTCTTTCTGCTAACATATTCCAGCAGGAAGAGCTTAGATCTGCCTGTGTGAAGACATGCCGGAGGCTTCAGGTACACACCTCATTCACAATATAGTCCAGCAGCTCGAAGATAGCCATGGCCGGCCGGCTGTCCATCCCGTGACCTGCCCGAGGGAGACACAGAGAAGGGGTGAGACAGGCTGGCGGCCGCTGCGCTTCCATTGGGCGTCAGGTCTGATCATGCTGAACGCAGCCGAGCACCCCTCTCCCCACCTGCCCATGTGGGCCTAAAGCAGAGACTCCTCCGACCTGAGCTTGCCTCCCTGGGAAAGTGACTTCTCTTCTGCACCTCTGCTGAGTTAAACAAAACACAGCCCAG